GTTTTGAATATTATATATATATATATATATATATATATATATATATATATATATATATATATATATATATATATATATATATATATATATATATATATATATCTGTATATATATATATATATATATATATATATATATATATATATATATATATATATATATATATATATATATATATATATATATATATATATATATATATATATATATATATATATATATATATATATATATATATATATATGTATATATATATATATATATATATATATATATATATATATATATATATATATATATATATATATATATATATATATATATATATATATATATATATATATATATATATATATATATATATATATATATATATATTTTTTTTTTTTTTTTATTATTTATTTATTTATTTATTTATTTTTTGCTCAATTCTTTATTTTTTTTTGTTTGCAAAACGTTCTTTTATTTTGCAAATATATATGGCCCTAGATTGACTCCATAAATCCCCCCTAAACCCCACTGTAATTCACACCCTGGTTTATAACCCATCCTGCACTATACAGTTTTTGCCCAAAAAATGGCTCAGATAAATGTTTGAAATATTTGTTAGCATTGGCTAATACTGATTAGCTAAAGTCACACCAAAGCTACAGCCAACAGATGATTCTGCTTGTTCTTAAAGCCTTTTTCAATGGGTTATTTTCCCCATGATGGCATAGCAGTCAAAATAGGACAAATAAGTTAATGTATGGGATAAATTATGGACCTTTGTCAGTGAGCCCTGCCTATGGGCCAAATCTCAATGTCAATAAATGAAATAGCTAAAGCAGTTATGTTTAAGTTTTACGTCAAATTGAAAATTTCCCCCCACATATATTCACCAATCCTCCATACTTAATCTTTGACATGAAACTATGAGGGTGAACAATGGTTCTCACATTTTGAAAGGCTTTGATGTGCTTTTTTTGCAAATTACATGAGGTCATGATTCAGGGTGTTAATTGTTTTCGTTATTTAATTTGAATATATTTGAACATTTTCCTAACTCAGTTTGCAAAATGTTCTTTTTATTTTATCATAGTGTATGAAGTGTAGACTGATGTTGAAATACAGTTTAACAAAGAACTAGCATGTAAAAAAAAAAAAAAAATCTGCATTCCATTACACTTCATTTTTACTTTAATTCAAATATAAATATTGTTACTTTGTTTTATTGTAATATTGTTATATTGTTACTTTAGGGGGGAAAGTTTCCCTTAATGTTGTGCTCTTCAAATATATGAACCAATATGCTGAATAATATTGCAATTGGCATGCACAAAGCACAAGAATATATTCAAGTCAAGTTGAGCTTTATTCTCATTCTGCTATATGTGTAGACATACAGAGGAACAAAATGTCCCAACCGTGCTACATAAATAAATCATAAATGCAAACACAACACTAGACAGAAGAGCTATTTAAAAAAAACAACAACATATACTATACCAACATATATACTTTACATATGATACTTAACTATACACATAAGATATACAAGTACTTTTACATTTACTTGAGACTGAACAATGTTGTGCAGGATATTGGGCAAAAGAGGCATTTAACGTTTTAATATTTTGCAAAAGAGGTATTTAAGGTTTAATATTGTGCAAAAGAGGTATTTAAGGTTGAAGCAAGCAGTGCAACATGATTGTGGAACATTTATAGTAAACATCATTTTGCTTATTGAGTGCTTGTATATATGTTGATTTATACAGCTTTGCAACTCTGGGTCTGAGAAAGTTTGGCAATTCCTTTTTCAAATAAAAATGACATATCACAAAATGTTGTGTGACATAAAAAAAACTAATCATGAAGTGTTCGGTTGTACTTTGTTGCCTTAATTCCGCTTACTTAAAATGCTTAAAAAGATCATAGTTAACTTTAAAAAATAGGTCAGTTGCCAGAAGCTCAGAAATATATGTTACTTTCAACACTCTGCCAAAATGTATTGTAAATAGGATAATGAATAAATACCATGCGATGTAGTGTTTACACTGCACTCAGAATATATTTGAATGCATTTAGTATAGCATTAGGTATATATTGAGAAAAACTAAATCATTTTGATATTTTTGAGTTTTTGTAAGTGGATGCACAGATAAAATTGTCTTAATGCATTTTTTATTCTAACCCTGTCAATTCAGGTTGGATCTTTGAACGCCTGCTTTCTTGCCAAACGAGGATTTGATGTTGAGGTCTATGAATCTCGGGAAGGTGAATTCATTATGTATCTCAAAACCAGCCTTCTTTAAGTAGTATTGCTCTACTTTTTTGTTATTCACACGCTGAACAACTTGAGGAATGATTATAATGCATTTGGTACAGATATAGGGATTTAGTGTAAATGTCTTTCAAACATAATTTGTTCATCTGAACTAATCTTCTTTTATCATGATAGATATTCGGCAGGCTAAAGTTGTGAAGGGTCGAAGCATCAACTTGGCCCTTTCCCACAGGGGACGGCAGGCCTTAAAACATGTGGGGATGGAGGATAAGGTGAGTTTAGTCATTTAAATGCATTCCTTGTAGGTGTTTAATGCACCATTTGCTTTTTTTCATCTCATTTTTCAGATTTTGCATGCATTCATTATAGTTGAGAGTCACTCAAATTAATATGCAGATATAAAAACATGTTCATTCTAATAAATAATGCACAGCACAATGCTTTGAATAAGAAATAGGTAGTCATTAGATGCTTTTATCCATAAACTCTTAGAAATAAAGGTAGAAAAGCTGTCACACTTTTGTTTCTAAAGAGTTTATATTGATACCAAAACAGTACAATAGTACACTACCTGACAAATTTTTGTCACCTATCCAAGTTTTAGAAGCAACTAATATTCTTAATTATTTAATTAGGACAGTAAGGTCTGACTTTGCTGAGACAAAAGTCTTGTCACTTAACAGAAATAATGTACTGTATAGAATATAAAGTCATGGTGCGGTGGAAAAAAAGAATATTGTGTCTGACTCCATCATAAGCTTGGAGGACTGCATCCATACATCTCTGCAATGACTCATATAACTTATCAATAAAGTCATCTGGAATGGCAAAGAAAGTGTTCTTGCAGGATTCCCAGAGTTCATCAAGATTATTTGGATTCATCTTCAATGCCTCCTTCATCTTTCCCCAGACATGCTCAATAATATTCATCTCTGGTGACTAGGCTGGCCAATCCTGGAGCACCTTGACCTTCTTTGCTTTCAGGAACTTTGATGTGGAGGCTGAAGTATGAGGAGGAGCGCTATCCTGCTGAAGAATTTGCCCTCTCCTGTGGTTTATAATGTAATGGGCAACACAAATGTCTTGATACATCAGGCTGTCGAGGTTGCCATCCACTCAGCAGATCTCTCAGACACCTCCATACTGAATGTATCCCTAAACCCTGATTTTCCTTCACCAAACTTGACTGATTTCTATGACAAACTTGGGTCCTTGCGGGTTCCTTCTGCAGTATTCATCTGAAAAATCTACCTTCTCCAGCTTTTTCAAATGATCAACAAGAAGTCAATATATTATTTGTTGCTCTTACTTCTGGGATAGATGACAAGGCATTTGTTAGTTAGTGTACATCTTTTGATATTGTAATAACGGAAAAATGACGTACGTTACATTACAGATATTTACCGTAAAATAATGAACATTAAATTATAGATATTTACCATAAAATAATAGACTTTAAATTACAGAGATTTACCATAAAGTAACGGATATTAAAATACAGAGATTTACCATAAAGTAACAGACGTTAAATTACAGAGATTTACCATGAAATAACAGACTTTAAATTACAGACATTTACCGTAAAATGACGAACGTTAAATTACAGAGATTTGCCATAAGTCATTTACAGTAAAATAATGGATGTAAAATTACAGACGTTTACCGTAAAATAACGGACATTAAATTACAGACATTTACAGTAAAATAATAGACGTTAAATTACGTTTACCATAAAATAACAAATGTTAAATTACAGACATTTACCATAAAATAACAGATGTAAAATTACAGACATTTACCGTAAAATTACAGATGTTAAATTACAGACATTTCCCATAAAACAACAGACCATAAATTCCAAACATTTACTGTAAAATAACGGACGTTTAATTACAGACATTTACCATAAAATAACGGACCTTAAATTACAAACATTTACTGTAAAATAACGGATGTTAAATCACAGACATTTACCGTAAAATAATGTACCTAAAATTACAGACATTTATCGTAAAATAAAAGACATTTACTGTAAAGTAACAGGCCTTAAATTCCTTAAATTAAAATTTCCGATAAGTTTACCTTCTGTTATTTTACGGTAAATTTCTGTAATTGAACGGCCCTTATTTTATGATTTTTCCGCCACTCCAGCTGCTGGAAAAAAAACGTAAAATAATGGATTTTTTAGTCAAGTAATTAAATTAGATCTACTTATTGAGTATTACTGTAAGTTACTTTTCAGACCAAGCAATTGAAAAAGTCATTTTAATACAAATATAACAATGTAATTAGTACTTAACTATTTTTTCCCCAACACTGCTAATATATATTTTTAAGGTCCGAATATTAAGCTTTTAGGCAAAACAAAAGAGTACTTTTTGGAAAGGTAATGCCTCAGTGACATCTCTGGTACCTTTATTTCTGAGAGTGTAAAAAATTATGATCTACTTATGAAAGAGACAATCTCCCTGGAGCTGGGTTTATTATTTTACATATCACAATCAATGTTTTATTTCACTTTTTTGCAGTATGCAATTGCTTATTCATAAAGAACCTGCCTTGTAGTATTGCTTATGAATTCTGTGACGGCTGAGCTGGTCTCAAACTTTTCCACAGAGGGAAGTAAAGAAAGTACAGCGAGGAAGTGTGACCATGCGAAACTAGGTCAGAGAGTACTTACAGAGAGCATGCCATGCACAGTCAGGCTTAAACTTTGAATTTTAGTGCATAATTATGCTGTATTTCCAATCCAATGTCTCTGTGATTTGGTTATTTCACACTTGTGTGACTTTTCAGCCTGGGTGAGTCAGGAATGCCAGATCAGGATCTCTGCATGAGTTATTGAAGCCTGAATTAACAGGACACTGGCCGCAACACAAGCTTAGGTGTTTCAACCTACATTTTGAAACCACAAAAATGTACCTAAACATATATTTGACAGCTGTTTCTAAGTAAAATTAATGCTACACTCCCAGTTATAGGAATAAAGTTGCATTATACTGCACTGTTCACACAGATTTTCAAGTTACAAAATCTGTCACTGGGGCGATAACTTTTCAAAATGTACATTTCTTTCCTAACAGGTGCTTAAAGGTACATATTAACACCTAAAAAGAACAAATGTGTACCTTAAAGTACCTTAAAGGTACAAAAGTGCACCCTAAAGCAGTGGTCCCCAACCCCCAGGCCACGGACCGAATCAACTGGTTCCGGGCCGCACAAGAAATCATGAATTATTTCTGTTTTATTTATTATCCAAGTCTGAACGATTTGTTATTTTGAAAAATCTTTTATTTTGAAGAATGATTGTATTCTCTCGGTTACATCTTGATCACTTGAGCGCCATAATTTAACCCACAAGCTAGCAAAATAGTTAAGTTAGAAAACAGATGTCTTTGTAAAGTCTCCATTGAAGCATCCACAAACTGTCAAGGTATGGATCAGCAACCCATTTGTCAACAAATCGGGTGAATCCAGCATGTCTGTGCAAGAAAAAGATCAACTGCTGAAGATCGCAATTGACGGCAGGCACTCACAAATCACGTCTTTTCCATGAGCAAGTTAATTATTGTGAATGGAGGCGCATGGCTTGTGTAGTCGTATTGGAAATGATACACCGAGCGCACCCTGAAAACATCTTCAGAATGGCACAAGCGAACCGCGAGTCATGTGATAAGAACTGACAGATCAGCTTCATATTTTGACACTGCAGTGCTTTTTAGTTTTCGCCATAAATAAAACTTGTATCAGAGTTGCAGCAATGTTTTGTAGACATGTCATCCTCTGAGAAAATGATTGATGGTCGACTAGCAATCTACATACACCCCTACCCCCTCCGGGCCACAGTAAAATTGTCAAGCATTGATGTGATAAAAAGGTTGGGGACCACTGCCCTAAAGGTATTTATGTCCACCTGTATGGTACAAAAGTCTACCTTTTGAAAAAATCCCGTCTTAGAGACAGATTTTGTACCTTAATTTCCGCGTATGTACAGTGCAGTATGATGCAACTTTTGTTCCTTTTCACACTAATAATATTTACAGCGACATATTATCAATGAATAAATAATTATTTTTTTGTGTAGTTTTTTCGCAAAACACCAAATAAAATAACACCATCGCCTCTTCTGTCTATCTCCATTTGGACAGCATTTCTGTTGTCATCAGTTTGCTTGGTAGATCTCTTTGTATGGTGGTGTAGAGCCCACCATACAAAGAGCGGTTATACATGAGCGGTTATACTTGAGACAATAAGATACCAGCAGAGGGCGTCAAGTGAAGAACGGTTACACAAGAGACAATAAGAGACCTGCGGTCTGTGTCGGTCCTAACACCCTGGTGTAATGAGGAGAACTCTATACTGCTCAGTGAGCACCGCCTTTCGGATGAAGTTCTAACCCTATGTGGACGTTAAAAATCTAAGGATGTTCTTCGAAAAAAAATAGGGGTTTACCCTTGGCATTCTGGCCAAATTTGCCCTGCTCTGTCCATCATGGCCTCCTAACCACCGATCAGCTGGGGTATGGTGTGTGGTGTGCGGTCTGGTGCAAAATGGCTGCCATCTCGTCATCCAGGTGGATGCTGCACACTGGTGGTGGATGAGGAGATTCCCCCAAAAAATGCGTAAAACGCTTTGAGCGTCCAGAAAAGTGCTGTATAATTGTAAGTTGTTATTATTATTATTATAAAAAATAGAATCAAATTAAAACTATGTGGTCGCAGTGCACTTTTCTCTTATATTTGTGGTTTTAAAAACACTGTTGTTTGGGTTTAGGGAAGGGTTTAGGTCAGTCGTTTGCTTAGTGATACATACCCTAAGTAACAAATTTCATATTTGCAAAAATGTAGACAGCGCCCTCTAGTGAATTTGCCATCTAAAACATGCAACAAAACAGATTGATGGACGTAGCTGTGAGCTCTATTTGTTTGAAAAGCAAAATGTGATTTATCCAGGACATCCGCCTGGATCAACATCTTTTGTCGGTCTTGGAACAACATTACAGTCAATCTAGATTCTAGATCATTTCGAAATTAGATTTTGGGGATTTAATAAAGGCTTTAACCACATTTGTTTTAATTTTAACCTCTCTCTCTCCTTCTCTCTCTCTCTCTTTCTGTCTCTGTCTCTTTCTCTGCAGGGATTCATTCATTCAGAAAAAAATGTAGCAGCTCTGTATTCAACACTGTCATTACAAATAATAATCGTTTTTACAATCGTTTGTAATAGTCTTTAATAATATAATAATTATTACACATGTTTCTTGAGCATTATTTTAGTTCTGAAAAGTCAGGTGATAAGAGCAAAGTTATCAAATAAAAGTTATTAAACTCATCAAATAAATGAATACATTTTTAAAAAATATCTTAAAATAGGAAACAGTTATTTTCATTTGTAATAATGTTTTACAGTACTACTGTTTACTTTTTTTCAAATAAATACAGAAGAAGGATAATAGACTTCATTAAAAATATTTTATGGATTTAATATAAAATTATATATAAAAAGGTGCATTCTGTTTTTTTTTTACAGTATTAACGCTCATATATTGTATTAAAGTGCATCCGGAAAGTATTCATAGCGCTTCACGTTTTCACATTTTTTTTTTATGTTACAGCCTTATTCCTAAATAAATTAAATTCCTTTTGGAAAAAGGCTTTAACGTAAAAAATGTGGGAAAAGTGAAGCGCTATGAATTCCGGATGCACTGTAAATGATGAAGTGAGTGGATAGAATGGATGGAATATGGACAGAATCTAGCCGGGAGTCAATATCTATATGCTCACTTAACCACTAGGCTATTGGGGCCAACATTATGACTATGTTTTAATACATTTTTTTTTGCAGATCGTCTCTAAAGGTATCCCAATGCATGCTCGCATGATCCATAATGTGAATGGAAAACGTTCTCCAATACCCTACGGAAAGAAGGGACAGGTAACTATAATCATTTGCAGATATGCACATTCATATACTCAGTAGTGTAAACTATTACATGCTACCTTGTTTTTCACTCAGTAAAGCCAAGTCAAAGGTATTTAAATAGTATAGCACTCTTCACAATACACATTGTTTCAAATCAGCTTTAGAGCAAATCTTTAAAACCAATCTCATTCACATGACAGTGGTTAAGCTGCACAGTTATAGGGTTATTCACCTGCTATAAGGACATATACATCAGGTATACATTGACTGACTGAGTCTGTTTGCTGAAATATAACATTGGTATTTCATGACCAGTGAACCCAGCAGAGTCAATACAACCTTCCCCTTAAAACAAGTTTGTTAATCATTACAATCATATTGCTCACATAAAAGTGGCGATTAGGACTTTGGAATGGTCTTTTCCCATCTTTTCATGAAAAATGAGCACTTAGGACTAGTTTTTCTGTCACAACACACCCATAAAATAATACAGTAAAAAGTTTCAATAAAAATATTTTAAATATACATGAATGTTAATACATATTAAAAGAGTAAAATGACATCAAAATCAACAGTTTGACAATATCTGAATCTGAATGTAGCTTGAGCAGCTTGCTTTATGTTATTAAACTTTATGAAACAACTTATTTTAATAAACGTAAACATGTAGTTGCAATAATATTGTGTATTTAATACAATAATGCAATGCCATATAAATACAATAATGGAATAATTTGAATGTTTAGCGACATTTTAGTTCATCAGAATGCCTAATTTCATAAACATAAAAATATGATGCGTAATTTGAATATTTTTGCATAATAGCACATTTGTGACCTTTTCTGTAAGGACACCAGACTACAGTTTTGAATATTATATATATATATATATATATATATATATATATATATATATATATATATATATATATATATATATATATATATATATATATATATAT